GATTCCATTCCTGACATTGACAACCTTGTAAAATGATCACATGTTCACATACTTAGCATATTTACAAGATTGCGGCCATTTTTGACGGGAAAATTCGACGCAGATTCGATTTCTGCCATATACAACTGCGTAAAATGACGTATGTTCACCAACTTCGTATATTTCCAAGATGGCGGAACATTTTCTAAACGCATTATTATCATTTTGTTTTACTTTTCGTTGTTATTTACAGGTTTCGGAGTCCAATTCTGCTACGTAGGCTATTATTTTGTAGCACATTCCTGAAATCCGGTACCGTGTCGTACCCATTTGGTATAATTATTATCCAACGATGAAATTCCTCATCCGAGATGACCACCGAGCTAAAATCGATTTTCCTATTCACTCGGGCTCCTGGCATGAAGGCAAAGGGAGCCTTACGGCAGCGTGGGGCTTGCGCAAATAAGCGTGGCAAGAAATTGAAACACACCCATCATGCTGATGCCACGACCACACCAAGTGCTTACTACGCCCACCCCGCTCCAGTCAAGATCTGGCTACGCGCAAAGTGTTCCACCATGATCTTGCAGTTACCCGTCAGACTGGGATACGTTCTCACCACACTCCAGTGACGCGCCTACCGGGCGTAAGACGCCCCTTGCCTATAGAGACTGTGCCATGCTCACCCGTCCTCTTTCACTTTCAAGGCAGATAACCACCCAAAGTAAAGCAATCAAGAACATATAGTTTTCTTTATGTTTCCCCTTTGGGTGCTAGACTGGAGTTGATGGGCGAAGCTCAGTGTCTTCCCTATATAGACATAAAGGCCGTAACAGCGTAGCAAGCATGCGGCCAGAAGCTTCGTTTCAGTCTGGCGGCAACGTGGTTAAAGGTGGCGGGGACGTGGCTATAAGTGAAATACACGCTAAGAAGCCCTCGTGGCATAGATTAAGTTATCAACTGACTTCCAAGCTGAATGTGGAACGAACATGTGGAATGCTGTTGAGTTAGAAACGTCAAGTATGTTACTACTTACACAACAACGTGTCCGGCTACTTTGACATCACGGCCACCAGTTCTTTCAATGGTTATGGCAGAGATGACATAAATAACTTGCACGTCGTAGTTTAAGTGGTGATCTAGTTTGTTTTTCCAACGTGACAGCATTCCTCCCAACGACTCCTTCCACACGCAGCTCGGGGCCAGTTGATAATATAATATATGCCACACATGTTTCTTATAGCAAGTATTACTATTTCATTTGCAGTCCTTGTTTTTTATTTCTTTGTATACCACTTTATAATATACACTTCTGTTCTACTTTTTAATTTATTAATTATCTTTTCAATAGTTTCACATTTTTAACCATCGTTAATTTTGTATCTATAACTGACAGACAACATAAACCGAAAGTCTCGATGAAGCCACCAAGTTTTAAAATCAGATTGGAGTCCAACTACTAAAACGCGATCGACCAAATAAATGTGCTATTTTCCTGGTACTGGCTTTCAGGAACATGCTACAAGCTTATATATAGCAGAAATGGATTCAGAAACCTTTTCAGTAATGTGTTTAGAAAATGTCCTGCCACAAAAGGCGACCATCTTAGAAATATGCTGAATGGATGAACATACCATCATTTCACGCAGTTGTAAATGGCAGAAATCGAACTGCCGCCAAAAAAAAATATATTGCACAAAAACCCGACAACTTAATCAAAATCAGCACTTTGTCCCATTGTCCCACCACAAATGTCAGCCATATTGGAAATATTCTAAATATGTGATCATTTTACACAGTTGTATACGGCAGAAATGGAATCTGCACCCCGAAAACATATATCCTGATACCATAGACGACTACTTAATATCAGTGCTTCGTCCCATTTTCCCACCAAAAATGGCCGTCATCTTGGAAATATGTGAAAATATGTGAAAATAGGTACACTTGTGATCATTTTACACAGTTGTATACGGCAGAAATGGAATCTGCACCCGAAAACATATATCCTGATACCATAGACGACTACTTAATCAATATCAGCGCATCGTCCAATTTTCCCGCCAAAAATGGCCGTCATCTTGGAAATACGCAAATAGGTAAACTATTGATCTTTTTACACAGTTGTAACTGGCAGAAATGGAATCTATGCCCCTGAAAACATATATATTGACACCAAACACTACTACTTAATCAAACTCGGCACATCGTCCGATTTTCCCGCCAAAAATGATCTCCATCTTTGAAATATCTTCATGAAGTGATGGAAAAATATCTGAAAGATAGTCACGACCCCTGCCAATATTAATACATTGCTAAATCACAGTTGATATGTCGATAACATTATAAATAAGGTGAAAATAAAAAAAGAAGTTGCAATATTATAGCAAAATGGCTGCCCTCAGATAATGGCCTCCCATACTATGAAGACCTACTCAGAAAAAATGTCAACATTGTTTTTTTGTCATTAAACATCAAAAACTACAATTATTCCACGATTTCTACCCGAAAAACCGACGGATGGGAATTATGTAACAAACCTAATCGGACTATTTATTTATAAATATTTTAAAGGAAGCTCTTAAGAACACATGGGTTTTCAAACCAAATGAATATAATGGTCAAAGCTTCGGAGTAGGAGCGGCCACGACAGCGGCTAGAGCCCAAGTGCCAAACCACCTAAAAAAAACGACGGTGAAATGGTCATCTGACTGCTTCCAGAAATACATAAAAACAGATGCCAAGTCAATAAGAAATGCACAAAAGAAAATGGGCTTATGTAAATAAGATAATTTATTTAAGAAACTTTATATACTCCTCCAAAAAGTAGGGGATATTGAAATGCAAATACCTTTGCAGGTTGCGATATGATAAATAGTCATGACAGATGAAGAACTTATCGCCCCAAAAGAACCACTGAGCTGCACATGCGACACGCAATAGTGCCATACATGTGAGAGGGGTTCATTATCAAATTTGACACTTCAAGGAAGGGTTGATGAAAACTGACGCGTGCTGGTTTATCTATCCATGTTTGCTTTCCTATCGGTTCTTGCATAAGATTTACTGTTTAGCGTATCTTTGCTTTAGTGTGTTACGTTTAGTGTGTTACGTGTTCGTCGACGTCAACGTCAACCGACAACACTGCAAGAATTGGCCGTGGCACAGCAAGAGGAGTGGGTCAAATTGCCCCAAATCGTGATTGGACGGTTGATTAGGAGCACGTCACGACGAATTGCTCAATGTCTGAGGATTGATGGAGCAATTACTCATTATTAAGACAAAAATCAAAAACGTTCATTTTCACTTTTGACGGTGTATCTCTTTGCGAGTGAAAAGGGGCCAAATAAGCACCCATATGAACTGTTTATGTTCATGTGTAGGCAATTGGCCTGTTTTTAACATACACTGGTTACCTCTAATAAAAACAGCAGTGCATTTCCGCAGTTGTGTATTGTTTCTAAATATCCCCTACTTTTTTGAAGAGTATATGTAGTAAATTATCTCAACAAAATGTAGATCATTTTAATTTAATTATTACTTTTTTGGGGGGCTTTCAATACAGGCCTTAGAGTTCACTCATGTTCCCCCATCAACCTGCAATTCCATTTGACATTTAATTAAGCTGTAGCTTAATCCCTTTCCCTTCAAACATATATCATAATTATCTTATCACTTTGGCTCATAGTTTTAATCTGACAAAATTTACAACCCGAGCTTTATTCATCCGAAGTTACAATCCTATAGCAACCATGGCCTTGGAATCAACTCCTACTCAGATTCCGCAGTTGTCCTACTTATAACTGCCTCAGACTCATGCCTTCAGCTGCTCTCAGGTGCCGACTTTTCAGTTTCGCAACGAAAGTGCCATCTGTAGAAACAAAAAATTTCTACTGCCTAGACATGCGTTGCCCCAGCTCGGTACGACCATGAGTGGACTCCTGTACCTCCATATTGCCAAAAATGCTATTGTGATTAAATATGTTATTTATGTAATTGCTATATGTTGATATTTATTAAACCTGTTTTAATTAATGTTAATTTGATGTTATTTAAAACCAAAATCATTACTTAAAGAGTTGTGTTTTTGGCGGCCCCGATCACATATCTACTAATTCAATGCCTCAAACCTTTGGTACGCAAGATGCTTATTAAATCTTTGCTACCTCCTGGACTACAAGGTTTTTGGAAAGCGGGGTGGGGGGGGGAAACACTCGAAGGTTGCAGAACGTTGAATATAAATAGGGTTCATCCTCTCCTGACCCCAATGCTTAACACCAAATTTTAAGAAAATTTGTTCTAAATTAAAGGGGGGAGGGGTGTAACTCAAGGGCAGAAAGTCACGGAGCGCTTAAATTTGAATAAAATCCTTTGGAAATAGCAGCCTTGTAGCATTAACACGGTTTTCAGTAATAAGGGGGGGGGGGGCGAAAGGTCACAAAACTCTGAAAATTGATAGGGTTCATCCATTTATAACCTCACTGCTTCACATCATATTTGAACAAACGAAAAGTCCTAGAGCACTGAATATAAACAGGGATCTCCCTCCCATTAACCTCAATATTTCACACCCATGTTTGCAGACCCTATCTCATTAACAAGGTAACAGGTAACCCTGGAGAGTAACCCTGGGAAATGATCCCAATTTTTCACACCCATATTTGTTGACTATCTCGTTAACAGAGTAACTCTGGAACAAAAAGTTGTAGAGCACTGAAAATCGATAAGATCCGCCCTCCACTGCTTCACACAAAATTGGAAGAAAATCTGTTTAAACCTGTAGTTTCTGTGGCGTTAACACGGTTTTCGTAAAAAGCAGGGACAAGCCTGGCATGAAAAGTCAACAAGTGCTGAACATCCTCTCATGGCCCCAATGCTTCATATAAATTCCGTTCAAAACTCTAGACTCTATCGCCAATTGTTTATGGATGGGCCAACAGACATGGGTGACGAATTGGGTGGTGTATAAAAATGTTTTGATAGGATATTTTACAAAAGATGAATTGGTGAAGTTAACTTGGTCTGTCAAAACTATCTGGTTCTGGACTTGGTGAATTTTCTGGGCTGCTAGTTGTTACACTAATTTCTCTTCTCTCCACGATTAACATACGACATATAGGACAAATCTCTAATTGTAGTGAACACACATCACAAAATCCTCTAAAATATACAATTTTATTAAAAACTTATCCCAACAATATAAAGATAGGTTGTCCGGCAGCTACGTCGTTCAAGCAGTTTTGTCGCACCGTGAATCTTTAAGTAAACAAGCCAACAGTGAGGCTGACGTCCCACGTCGAAATCCCAAAATAAATAGATGGCACATATTAGTTAATCGCACATTTATTTTTTTTAAAAGCCCAGCAATCAAACTGATTATCAACTTCATCACTGTCTATCAAATAGAATCAAAGTTATTTTGTCCCAAAGCAAAGACCAATGAAATTGCTTAGCTTTAGCTCGAAATGTTAATCATCCACCTAATGAACACTACATCAAGTTTAAAGGACAATATTGGTGCCAGTCATTATCACATGTGATAGAACTGGTTAAACACGTTCCAAATATTATTTTATCACAGATATCGTTGCCACGATAGATGCGTAATCAATCGAAAGTGACGAACGCAAAAGGAAAACACGAGTTATCTCTCTATATAACTGACTGAAGTGACGGGTGATAACAGATACATAAGCGAATTTCTGCTCACTAATAATTCTTTCGAAGACCAAAAGGCATTGAACTAATGAACACCTACGCCAAGTGTGAACATTCTAGCTCAATTAGAATGAGTTATTGTGTTTCAAACTCTCGACCAATCAAATTGCTTACCGCTCTGCTTACCCTGAGCAGAAAATGCTCATTATCGAACTTAGTCAAGGTATTGATGGAATAAAACTATATACCAAATTTCATCACTCTCACCTAATTAGAACTAAAGTTATCGTGTCCCAAAGTCTTAGCCAATCAAATTGCTTATCACTCTCCTTACCCTGAGCAGAAAAGGCTCATTATCGACCTTAGTCGAGGTATTGATGTAATGAAACTATACACCAAGTTTCATCACTCTCAGTTAATTAAAACTAAAGTTATCTTGTCCCAAAGCATTAACCAATCAAATTGCTTATATCTGCTTACCCTAAGCAGAAATGCTCAACTTTGAACTCCAAGCTAAGCATTGGCCTAATAAATACCTACACCAAGTTTGAACATTCTAGCTCAATTAGAAGGAGAGTTATCGAGTTCCAAAGTCTCGACCAATCAAACTGGTTATCGCTCTGCTTACCCTGGGCAGAAAATGTTCATTATCGAACTTAGTCAAGGTACTGATTTAATGAAACTATACACCAGGTTTCATCACTCTCACTTAATTAGAACTAAAGTTATCGTGTCCCAGAGTCTTAGCCAATCAAATTGCTTATCACTCTCCTTACCCGACAATGTTTATCATCACACTCCATCAAGACATTCACCTAATGAACGCATACACCAAGTTTGAACATTCTACCTCAATTAGAAGGAGAGTTATTGTGTCCCAAAGCATCAACCAATCAAATTGCTTATCTCTGCTTACCCTAAGCAGAACATGCTCATCTTCGAACTCCATCAAGGCATTGACCTAATAAACCCCTACATCAAGTTTAAAGAGAGAGAGAGAAATGGGGTTTAACGTCCACTCGACACAAACTAGGTCATTTCGGGACTAACATATGGTTTAATTTTATTTACATAATTCGCTTGCGCGTAGGGGTCTTTAGCAGTGGGAGGAAACCGGAGAACACGGAGAAAACCCACGAGGTTGGACAGGCGACCCTACTCCTTGCCACGTACAACCGGAGATTCGAAACCACGCCAGTCGACTCAATGACAGACTGTATGATACAGCGCGCACACGCTAACCATTCAGCCATCCAACCCCCCTACATCAAGTTTAAACATTCTAGCTCAAATAGAAGAAGCGTTATTGTGTCCCAAAAAGTGTGACGGACGAATGGACGGACAGAGACAAACCCATTTTAATAGTCCTCTGCGTTCTTCGAAAGGCGGGGGACAATGACGATAGCATACAAAGTGTGGAAATACGCCCACACAGCAGCCATGTCTGGACAGTAACTTATCCGAAAGGAAAACTTGGATCTTGACCAAACTTGATAAGCAATGTATCCCTCCGATTCACAAGTTTGAAAACAAGCGGTTGTCATACAAGATACGCCCACATTTTGTAAGAGATAAATAGAGAACAAGCTAAAAATCCAGGAAGTTATGGTCCGACATGCGCCAATATAGAAAGGAACAGAGATCTTTGGGTTATAAACCTATATATACTAAACAGCAAAAAAAAAAAGGGTAGTACGATTTCAAAATCAGAGAGGCATTCTAGAAGACGACTTACTAAATGGATCAAATCATTATTTTGTGAACAGTATGTTGACACATTAGTGATTAATTCATCACAATTCCAAGATCAGTATCTGGTGTGTCCACCGCGAGTGTCAATAACAGCAGCGCAGCGTCTGTACATGGAGTGGACCAGATGTTTGATGAACGCCATCGGTACCTTGAACCACACTCTCAGAAAAGCCTGGCGCAATCCATCGGCTGTGTTTGGTCTCGGTATGACGTTATTAAGTCTCCTTAGAATTTCATCCCAAAGATGTTCAATCGGGTTTAAGTCCGGACTAAGGGCTGGCCACTGCATAATGTTGACACCGTTCTGCTGTAGAAAGTCCCGAGTAACTCTGGCGGTGTGGGCATGCGCGTTGTCATGCTGGAAATCGTTGTTTCGGTGACGTGCGAAATGTAGTATGCCGTGGGGTCTGAGAGCTTGATCGATGCAGCGCACTGCTGTGATGCCGCCTTCTCTCCTTGGACCAAGATTTTGGAACACCATAGGACCCACTCTCTGGTTCAGGCCGACACATTGGTCATTGCCCGTGTCGCCAGTTCTGGTGTTGTTTGGCAAACTGTAGACGTTCACGTCGATGGCGAGGGGTGAGGATCGGTCCACGGTAAGGTCTACGGCAATGGATGTTCTCTCTGGTGAGACGTCGGCGCACTGTATCGGTACTGATTGGACGTCCGTGTGTTCCCACTGTCTGACGTGCTGTCTCAGATGCTTGTGTGTAGGGATTCTGCACGTGCTGTTGCACAACATGGCGATCTGGACGCCTTGTGGTAACTGGTCTACTAGTTCAGGGGCGATCATCCGTGGTGTTGGTGGCCCGAAAGCGTTGCTGAAGCCTGTAGATGGTCCGACCATTGACCTGGAAGTGTTTGGCAACGGCTTGGCCAGTGTGACCAGCGTCGAGTCTTCCAAGCACCTGGTTCCTCTGAGCTGTCGTGGCATGCTGCTGACGTTGTAGTGTGAATGATTCGACCAGGTATAGGGGTGCATTTTATAGAGCTGGTCCCGGTGAACAGCATGTGCAGCATGAGTTACATGAAAATCATGGAGAACACATTACCATCTCAGAAGTCAGGTTGCGTTTTAGAGAACAGGTAAAGTTGGAGATGTGGTCACAAATCTACAATAAAACATTTGGCAAGTTTTATGTAATGCATCTATTCAGAGTAACATTTGCTGCTTAGTATATGCCAAGTGTCGTCAAAATCGGATAAAAATTGTGACAAAGGCGACAACAATTACGTCGACGTTTTTAAAATCACACAAGAGCAATGCTGATACGTCCACATTCCTGCTTTGATTGCTATGGTACTCTTCGTCAGAGTTCTCTATGACGTCATTTCTGTTTCCTTACAGATTATTTTTCAATATTTTATTTATTACCCTGAAGAAGACGATACCTCTTCAAAACGTTGTTTTAATAATATATGACGATGAAAACAGTGTTAGTGTCGTTTTTGTTTATCTACTTTAATATTTATCTAGTGAAGGACACTTCCGTATCGGATCATTAGATCCATTGTTTTGATATTAGAGCCCAGGGGGTCAACCTAGCTGAAAATTGTACCAATGTTCACCTATATGGTATTAATGCATGCATATCTGGTAACATCAGAATGTAAGTCTGCCGGGCATCTGGTGGTGGCTGTGGCTGTGAGGGCTGCGATTCTGGGTATGAATTCTTGAGCTAGATTAGCTCAAAAGTGTACCACATGAAAATGGTACAGCAGTGTACCATACATCTTTAAGTATTACAAAAACACCCTGACAAACATTTCTAGTGGTGGGGTACCCCCGACAGAGTTATGTAATTGCCAGACCACAGCTAGGCTAGATTAGCTGAAATCTGTACCGCTTAAAACTGCTTGGAAGTTGTTCAGCACCACCACAGGAACCAAGAATCATCATTGCCAGACAATTTGTGCGGTGGGTTACCCTGACAGACACGACGAAAATACCCCCCCCCCCCCCAACTAGGCTAGATTAGCTGAAGTCCGTATCACCTAAAAGTGCTTGGAAGTTGTTCAGCACCACCAAAGGGATCATAAATTACCACTGCCAGACAAATATTGCCGTGGGGTACCCCTGAAAGAAACGTGCAAAATGCCCCGTCCCGCAACTAGGCTAGATTAGCTGAAACATGTACCACTTATAACTGCTTTGGTGTTGTTCAGCACCACAACAGGAATCATGCATGATCACTGCCAAACCGATTGTACGGTGGGTTACCCCTTACAGACACGCCCAAAATGACACGCCTCGCAATTAGGTTAGAGTAGCTGAAGTGTGTACACTTAAAACTGCTTGGAAATTGTTCAGCACCCCAGGGACCACACTGCCCATTGCTAGAGAGTTTGTTTGGTGGGGTTCTCCCATAAGACACAACAGCCAAGCGCCCCCTCCAAAAAATTTGGCTTTATCAGCTGGGTCAGGCTTATTGAGAAATTTGGGTATTACATATTTCCATGAGTATGTAATATCTATTAAAAGATTAAGTAATCGTATGAAGAATAATAAGTAGTGGTTCAACTCAGTGGATACTGACATACGAACCATAAAGTCCGGTTGCCAAACCCCATTTTAAGCCTTGGCATGGAAATATAGTCCACCTAATGTTTATTGGTGGATTATATATCTTCTATATGTGTTGATTCAGAATTGGGAAAATTTTTATATATTCAAGATGGCCGACATGAGGCGGTTTCAAGGTTATTTAGTGGGGTAAAATATGTGACGGCTGCTCTCGGACCTCGGT